TAATAATAATAATAATAATAATAATAATAATAATAATAATAATAATTGAAAGTTCAGAGAACAAGAAATGGTCAGAGAAAAATGGAGATCAGCTCCTGTTTAATAATAAAATATCTTTGTTTTGTTTTTCAAGTCCTTAACACAGTTTCTGGGGTGGTCTGTCCTCAACACTGATACTTATGATAAGATGAATAAATTGGAGAATAGAAAGGACATTGCACAGGATATGGTGCTTTATCATGTACGATGTGACCAGGAGGAACTTCAAGAGCTCTTGGTATGACTTTTAATGATTTGGCTCTGTTCTAATTCACTCTATTCCTTATTTCTTGTTAAATTCTGTTTCAACTGTAAGAGGGATCTTGGAAACTTCGTGGACAACCATTTAAATATGAGCCAGCAGTGTGCTGCAGCTACCAAAAAAGCCAATATGGTTGTAGGCTGTATTAACAGAGAGAGAGAAAATCAAGATCACATGAAGTGTTACTACCACTTTATAATGCCTGGTAAAGCCACACTTGGAATACTGCATCCAGTTTTGGTCTCCACAATGTAAAAAAGATGTTGAGACACTAGAAAAAATGCAGAGAAGAGAAACAAAGATGATTAGGGGACTGGAGGCTAAAACATAAAAAGAACTGTTGCTGGAATTGGATATGTCTAGTTTAATAAAGAGAAGAACTAGGGGTGATATGATAGCAGTATTCCGATATCTCAAGGGTTGCCACAAAGAAGAGGGAGTCAAGCTATTCTCCAAAGCACCTGAGGGCAGGACAAAAAGCAATGGATGGGAAACTAATCAAGGAGAGAAGCAAACTAGAACTAAGAAGAAATGTCCTGGCAGAACAGTGGAACAACTTGCCTCCAGAAGTTGTGAACGCTCCAACACTGGAAGGTTTTAAGAAGAGATTGGACAACCATTTGTCTGAAGTGGTGTAGGGTTTCCTGCCTAGGCAGGGGGTTGGACTAGAACAGGGGTCCCCAACCACCGGTTCCCGGACCGGGACCGGTCCGTGGATCATTTTTTCTAATGCAAAGCTTAGGCGCCGCCATCTTGTTTTGACGGTGCTTCCGGGTTTTCAGTTGGAAAATGTTTCCGGGTTTTCAATTGGAAAGCGGAGTTTGGGTGCGCGTGCCTTAGTTTCGTCGAGGGGGGGGCGGCTTCGAATGAAGAGCCGTCCCGATGGCGGTGGAGTCTCGCGTTACTCAGGTACCGGTCCGTGGAAGAATAAATCATCGTGAAACCGGTCCCTGGTTCAAAAAAGGTTGGGGGCCACTGGACTAGAAGACCTCCAAGGTCCCTTCCAACTCTGTTATTCTATTCTATTCTAACTGTTAAAGGATTGAGAACTATTTGGATCTTGAGTGCTACAAAGTCTGCTACAAGATAAGATCTGTCACCATTAGATAACAAGCATTGTGTGTGTGTGTGTTTTGAAAATCATTAAATTGTCAGATATGTTGATAGTACTGGGAGGTTGCAGGTTTTATTCATCTGCTGCTTTAGATTGCAAAATACATACATCTTGTATGCTCATAACTTCAACATGCTTGTGTTTTTCCACAGCCAACAAGAGAGAGGCTTGGCAAAGAGGTGAACGAATGTGAAGAGGATGAACTGATGGAACTTCTAGTGAGTATCAATTTTTGTGAATGCCTTATTGTGGTATCATGCCCTTCTTTTAAAGATTATGGATCTAAACTGGGAAACCTTTATTCGGTTGCACATTACATAGGAGAATATTACAGAAGCAGATAATGATGTCCTATGGTCCTAGCCCTAAGGGCGGGGCAAAAAGCAATGGTTGGAAACTAGACAAAGGGAAATCCAACCTGGAGCCAAGGACAAATTTATTTACTCAGTGGAACAGCTCGCTTCCTGGAATTATGGGTGCTCTCTCACTGGAGGTTTCCAAGAAAAGATTGGGCAACCATCTATCCAGGATGAAATAAGGATGCCTTCTTTGTGCAGAGGGTTGTCCTAGAGGTTTGTCTTTCCTGATATGTCTCCTTTGATGCATATAAAGTGTGCTTCAGCTAAGTAAATATCAATTGTTATTATTTGATTTATAATTTATTAAACAAAGATCATACAAGGCAAAAAAAAATTGATTGACCCTATTCATCACAGACATTTTTCTAGACTTTAATGAAAACTCACCTCACTATTTCACTCATGAGTTTTATCGAAATAATGAAAATTGTTTGCAAAAAGTATTAATTTCAGCAAAGTGTTTCCTCTGAGAGAACTTTCCAATTTCACTTATTGACATGTTTCGCATGGATCAAGAAGCTCAGCTCACCTCAGGCAATATAGATGTAGCATTAATATGGTGACAGAAAAAAACATTCCACATTTTTAGAAAAGCAAACACATTACTGAGGAAAACACTGGCCTCATTTGTCCATAGTAGTCATAGAATACAAGTATTGGTCCTGGCTCATTGCAGGAATGGACAATCATATGCAAACATATGACACACTAGAGGTGGAATGGCAGGAAAACAAACATCCGGAAACAGGCAAGACAGTTATTTAAATGCAACACAAATCCAGACCAAAAAACTAGCTATGAGTTGTCTTCCTGTCTGACCATATCATTGATCACAAGCTCTGATTAATTAACAAAAGCTTACATAAACTGCAATTCCATTTTTGCAAACATTAGCAAATCAAGATCTTGGAATAGTAAGATTAAATGCTGGCAAAGCTGTTTTGCAGGACAGGAGTTGAACAGAAGTCTATTTGAACTAAGTTTAGTTTGGTGCATTCCAGTTATTACATTGTTTGCAAACTCATTAAGTAGCATTAGATGCAAGCATAGTCACTATTTTTATGGCAGTTCAGAGAGCAAAGCCTTATAGCTTTCACTCTGGGTTCTAAACTAAACTAATCTAAACTTGTTTTTTGCCCCCAGAAAGAAATGCTTCCAGACCCTGAAGAATGTGAAATCTATGCCTTTCACTTTTCTGATTTCGAATGGACTGAACTTGACCTTGTAAAATGTGGCATTCAAATGTATTATGAGCTTGGAGTGGTGAAAAAATTCCAAATTCCACAGGAGGTAAATGGTAACATTTTTGCAGACCCTTCTTCAAATGTGGAGAATTAAAAAAAAAAAAAGAGTAATGAGCACACTGTGGCTTTGTACTCATCTACTATTAAGTGGACGGTGGCATTTTGAACTTTTTACAAATGAGTTGTCTCTTTAAAAGGAATTTGTCTGCTTGGATTATATCCCACATTTCTTTCAGTAGTTCAAAGCAGAATTCATCGCTTTTCTCCTCCAAATTTTCCTACAACTCTAGGGGATAGATTGCGTTGAGAGGTAGTTACTTATCCCAATGTCATCTTGTAGGCTTCCCTGTGTGAGAGTAGAATTAAACCTAGGTGTTCCAAGTCATGCGCCAAAACCTTAGCCATTCCACCAAGGTGGTACAAAATAAAGCAAAAAAAAAAAAATCTGTACAGAGAGGGAATAGGAAGTCACATATACATATTGAATGTAAATTATCTGAGGGATAGTAGGAGCATCTTAGAATTGCATGTAGATTTGAAATATCCTGCTCCTTGAGTAATGATTGTGCTTCTCAGTAGAACCAGAACCCCTGGGAAATTCCAGCTGGCCAGACTTTCTCTACCCAAAATCTCTAATTGCAATTTATAGGTTCTTGAGTAATGCTTCAGGTTGTTCTCCTCCATCAATTTTTGAAAGCCAAGATGAACACATGTTTACAAGCATACAATCCATCAGCCAATCAGTGTTGGCTAACACTTTTTGACCAACTGTGGAGGACAGGGAAATGCCAATCAACCAATACTTGGAAGTTAGCTAACAATCAATTGCATCAGAGATGGTATTCAGCAAGTTCTGACCAGTTCTGAAGAACTGGTAGTGGAAATTTTGAGTAGTTCGACGAACCGGGAAATACCACCTCTGACTGACGATTTTACAGTATCCTTCCCCTGCCAAGCCACACCCACAGAACCGGTAGTAAAAAAAATTTGAATCCCACCACTGAATTGCATACTTGTTTTTGTAAGCCTCCAGGCAAGGCATCATATAATCTGCAGGAGGATTAACAAATCCTCTTTGGATCTTCATCAATCTGGCAATTACCCGTGAGAGACAGTTAGTAGTATAAATAACTACTAAGTCTAAATTGGGGCTTCCCTAGTAGCCATTTCAGGCTAACATCTTCTAAAACTTCTACAAAGTTCTTTTGAAACTTACTGAGTTCCCAAGATTTAGAAACCAACTGGCCATTGAAGGTGGAGGCCTAGGAGAAAACATGTGTATGCTTTCAGCCTTCCTTAGTAATGTGTATGCCCTAATGCATTTTATTTAGATTATAAACTGCTTCAAAATTTTAAGTTAACAGTTCAGGCATCGGTGATCCAAATTAATGAATAAAATAAATTATGGGGTCACTAAGGAAAAAAGAGGTACAGGTAGTCCTTGACTTACCACCACAATTGAGTCCACCATTTATGTTGCTGAGTGAGAAATTTGTTAGTGAGTTTTGCTCTATTTTACAATTTTTCTCTCCATGTTTGTTAAGTGAATCACTGCAGTTGTTAAATTAGTAACCCGGTTGTTACATGAATCTGGCTTTCCCATGGACTTTGCTTGTCAGAAGGTCGCAAAAGGTGACAGCATGATTCCTGGGACACTACAATTGTCATAAATATGAACCATTGGTCAAGCATCTGAATGTAAATCATGTGACCATGGTTATGTTGAAACAATCGTAAGTGTGAAAAATGGTCATAAGTCACTTTTTTCACTGCCTTTGTAACTTCGAACTGTCACTGAATCAACTGTTGTAAGATGTAATATATTCCTCCTGAACATCTGAATACCAAAAATTGGTTAAGAAACTTTTTTGGGGAGGGAGGGGGCAGTTTCTTTCCTCCTTTTGAGAAAATTGTGGCACATAAAACTGGTCTACACTGATTAACTCTTTTTATTTTCACAGGTCCTGGTGAGGTTTGTTTTTTCAGTCAGTAAGGGTTACCGAAAGATTACCTATCACAACTGGCGTCATGGCTTCAATGTTGCACAGACTATGTTTACCCTTCTTATGGTACGTCTGAGTTTACTGAGCCTTCTGTAGGGACGGTTTCAGTTTAGAGCCACTGTCATTCCCAGATGAAACTCTTACTTCTACCATTTAACTAGTATATAATTGTCTTTGCCCTTAAAACAGTGAAACTCATATCTTTCACCCCACTCTGAAATTCTTAATTTGTCTAAGTATCTACAACAATTTTTAGCTCAGATTTTCCAACCTCATTCTGGCTTAAGAGCCCAGATTCAGATATTCCATCATTTATCAAGAAACTAGCTCTATACCCGTGCTTCGCTATGAAACTATGTGACTGGGCTTAGTTTTTTGGGGGGGAAATAAGGGGGCAAAAAATGTGCCCCTGCCTTCCAGCATCCACCAGTACTCATCTGGCATCCTGTCAGTGTGTGTGAGAGAGTTGAGGGTTGTTTGGAAACTGAAACATGGAAACTGGAATAGTATTTGCTGTGTGAGCAAGAAGGAGACACCAAGGAGCCTGGGCGTGGCTTAGCTCAACTGTTCTGTACTAAAGCTGGTTCCTGCGGTGAAACTAAAACTGAAACTGAAACTCCTCTCCTCTGCTTGTGTTTTGCATTTGAAACAGATTTCTTTTCAGGTGGGGAGGGGGAGTAGAACTCCTTAGCATCAGAGCATGTTAATAATAATATATGAAATACTAATGCTCTGATGGTGATTTCAAAAAATCCTTTCTTAGTGAGCATCTAGAAGCCAAGAGGAACATACGTGTCAAATTCCAAGTTTATAGGTTTTATGATTCTGGAGATTTTGTGATGATGTATGAGTGGTATTTCATATATATATATACCCAGTCAAGCGGCACTCCCACTGGCAGTTAAAAGAAAAAACAGCTGCAAGCTCACATTACTCCAAGAAGCACAAAACCGAAGACACAAGCCTGAAGACGACGAATGAGATTTCGTTGAAACGTCGCCAAAATACTTCCAATTTTATGTGGGAGAAAACCCAAAAAACCAAAGATCCACATACAAATACCCGCGAAAACCTCAGAAAACAAAATATATATATATACATACATACACACATACACACACACACACACACACACACACGTATGTATGTATGTATGTATGTTTGTATGTTTGTATGTATGTATGTATACAGAAGCCTGATGATGGCAGATGAGATTCTGTCAAAACGTTGCTACAACTTTAAAAGCACAACTATAATGATGTGGGAAAATACCCGAACAAAGCTGAATACCATGCATATAAAATACCCGTGAAAACTTAAGAAAACAAATATGTATGTATGTATGTATGTATGTATGTATGTATGTATGTATATAGATTAGTTGATAAGGAGCTTTATACAAAAATCACAGTCATAATATTTCAAGCACTTTGGTGGCAATTATCTTTATTCGGATGCAGATTTAGGAATGTCAAGATGACTTAGTTAAGCCTCCTCAAGGCTTCTGATTCTTAAAATACGCTCAATTACACCCACACACAAAAGGCAAAATAAAGGCCAAAATGTTTAGTTCCACTGATTCTGGAAAGGGCTTTATGGGTTACAAACGGATGACCACAAATATGCAAGCTCTTTTAACATTTTTGAATGCAAGTTCTACTTTCATTTAATTTTAATGCAAAAAACTAAGATAGCTTGTGATATGAATAGCAATGAAAATTCAGCCTGCATGTTTTTTTTAAAAAGTATCTTAACAAAATAAAAGCTAAATCTTTTTTAAAAAAAGGAATCTGAGAGTTTTGCTTTATATAGACAGGTAAATTGAAGCAGTACTACACAGATCTTGAAGCCTTTGCCATGGTCACTGCAGCTTTGTGTCATGATATTGACCACCGAGGAACTAACAATCTTTATCAGATGAAGTAAGTGCTCTTCTTTTATTATCAATGCAATTTATATTGGGATCTGTTGTTTCAGAATAGATTTCATATTAAATTCTACAGGCTGCTCCCCCAAAAGTCAAATGATTCTTCGTGCACATAAGAAAAACTGCTGGTGTCCACTTACACATTAATGGAGAATCACATGCTGCTTCTCAGTGACAGTTCTAGGATTTCTATCACTTGGTTTTAACTGACGGCTAGGCCGTCTTTTCGGGAGTGACTTAATTCCCCCCCCTTGCATCTTTGGGCGGGCGGGCAGCGATGGCTTGGATGTTGACCTCAGCGTTGGTGGGGCACTTCATATCGGGGTCAACGCAGGCAGCACCATATCCGGGTGTGCAGCAAAAGTATTTCCTAACAGCAAGCCCCCCCACCATTCCCCCCCATTTCGCATGTTTTAATATAGGCCTTAATTTGGGGGGAGGGGCTTAATTTCATTTCATGCCTATAAAACATGCTGGGATTTCCTATTGGGGGAGGCCGTATTGTTGGAGAAACAGGGTAGTTAACTACTGTATTTCAGAAACATTTGATTTTCCTCTTGCATACCCACAAGACTTTCAATTGTGCAGAAATAGTACCCAGCTCTTCGAGAAGTATTTTAGCTCCTCACCTTCTCCAAAGACAACTCCAACCATTAGGTAAAGGAAAGGTTCCCCTCGCACATACGTGCTAGTCGTTTCTGGCTCTAGGGGGTGGTGCTCATCTCCATTACAAAGCTGCTCTCCGAAGACGTCTCCGTGGTCATGTGGCCGGCATGACTAAACACCGAAGGTGCACGGAACGCTGTTACCTTCCCACCAAAGTCGTTCCTATTTTTTCTATGTGCATTTTTACATGCATTCGAACTGCTAGGTTGGCAGAAGCTGGGACAAATAATGGGAACTCACTCCGTTACATGGTGCTAGAGATTCAAAACGCTGAACTGCCGACCTTTCTGATCGACAAGCTCAGTGTCTTAGCCGCTGAGCCACCGCATCCCTACTCCAACCATTACAAATTCTCAAAGAGCAAAACCCTTTTTGTGATGGCAGAAGCATCCACTCACAGTGCTCCTCCCTGCTCCCATACAAGTAAAAGCAAGCACAATGCTAAAGCCAAGGTCCACTCTCTCCCTTGGTGGGCTCAGCTTTGTAATAAAGGGGTATTTGAAATGATGCTCATTTAGCTTTTTTCTTGAGATCACCAGACAATGTACAATACCGGGTTGCACTTCAGTGAGTATTTTTATTTTCTGAGAGGCATTCTGGGAAAGATGGTACTGGGGAGGAAGGGGTGAATGGCGCTTGTTTAGCAACATGATGGCCTTCAATTTAAAAGAAAAGTGAAACGAGGCAGAAAAATTCTGATGCAGGGGTTCCAGACACCCTAAACCCCATGGACACACCTTGTCAACACCTACCAGATGTGGGAGGCAATAATCCATTCCAGAGGATCACTAGATGGCACCAGAGGGTTCCTAAATCTTTTTGTAGTCATCAGATTTTGCAGCCCAGATCTGATATCTGTAGCATTGCTCGTATTTCTGATGGCTTATAGCGTCCCTAGATATATTTTAAAACTTCAAAAACTACCATTTTTAAAAAGTTGAGGCCTTCCTCACATGAATGTATCCCTTCTTGCATAAAGAATGATGCAGAAAAAGAATGATACGGTAGATATTCAGCTGTGCCATGGTGAAATATATGCTTCTAAAGTATATTTGTATTTAAATATCTGTTTGCTGTTTTTGCGGCTTAGAAATTTTATAGCTGATATTCTCATTGTTCCAGTTCTGTGTAGTTTGCATGTTATCAATAGCTTTGTAAAGTGTCTTGGAACCAATGAACCATAATAAAATGTATCATAAAATAGTTATAGCACAACTCAGGGAAATCATAATTTTAACAAGAGCTTTCTTCATCAAAGATTCGAGCAATGTCTGGTTGCTGTTCTTGTACTTCCAGTCCCAAAGCAATCGTTTGCAAGCTTGAGGATAGAAATAAAGAAGTATTTGGCATTCTTGTAATGATTCCATTCTCTAATCTTCTCTGGTGTTTGCTAACAGATCTCAAAATCCCTTGGCAAAACTTCATGGCTCATCCATTCTAGAGAGACACCATTTGGAATTTGGCAAATTTCTGCTCTCAGAGGAGGTGGGTGACCAATATTTTGAATGGCAGAAGTAATTGGGTGGATCCATGTTTTGCTTTTATGAAACGGTGATTGGTATTAGACACAACTCAAATTTTGATTGGAATTAATAATTGGTTTAAAACTTTGCACCAATGACAAAGCATCCATCAAAGCATCCATTCTTTTTCCTTCTCAGATGCAGGATTTAAAGAAGTCAATTCTTTCAGCTTCCAAGTAGCATAGCCTACCTTGAGACGGAATTTAACTCCCATGTTAATATACTGTTAATAGAAAATAAAATTGGCTCGTTAACAATTCAACAACTACCAGGTTCAATTAATCATTTTATCAGATGGTTCAAGGCACACACGTGCTTAATATTAATGGATCATTTAAGCCAGTTAATTGGGAATTTATGCTAGAGCACTTTGTTTCAAAATTTAGATTATCAGTACTAAAATTAAAAATGAGGGCATTTAATACAACAGCCACTTGGAAAGCAGCATTTCAAGCTGAGAAAAGTGAAGAAAATTATCTTCAGCTAGGAGATGGGAATGAAACAGATGGCAAACTGGTAGAAGTGTCCTGAGGAATGAGAGGCATCAGCACACTTCAAAATCGAGTCTGCAAAATATTTGGAGAACTACCAAATAAAACACCAGTAAAAACTCTTGTTCAGTAGTTTCAGAATGTTGGATCAATTGGTGGAAAAATAGAAATCGTGAAAGTTGAGGTAGAGGGAAAGTTGAGTATCATAACATGATCCAACTTGTTCATCTTTATGTTGTTCTTTCCAAATGATAAAGGTGTTTAGTTACATTTTTCTATATTCTTAGCACATAGTAGCAGAGGAGAGATCATTGAGTACAAGTTCAGCTAATCAGTTCAGTTAATCTGATCACTTTTCATTGGCTTCTGGAAAATGTTTCCATTGGCTTCTGGAAAACCATCAGTAAAAGCCCACAATAAAGGATGAGATTATAATGTGTTTATATCTGTCTGTCTGTCTGTCTGTCTGTGTAAGAAATAAATGTTTAGGCCTTGAACCTATGAAAAAGAATTAGTATATCTTCTCAGTATCTATGTGATGACCCAGGGTGGGATACAAAAGCAACAAAGTCACAAAAACAGGTGAAGTCCCTTTAATTCCTCCAACTTGGCTTTAAAGGTCCAATTATCATTGACTGGTGAAAAAACTCCCACACAAACAGTTGTGAAAAGGAAAAACTTCCGTTCAAACTCAAAATACATATAAATTATAAATAGAAAAAAAACAACACAAACCACACTGAAGAATTAATGAGACAAGGCAGGATAAGGGCTTGAAGACTTCTGCAGATATTGAAATACACACACTGGGAAGGACGCCAGAACTCAGATAAGAACTGATAGACTAGAAATATGTTCACACTTTGCTTCCAGCACTGACCTATGCGTAGTTTGTCCTTTTATACGGTCCTCACAGCTGCAGCCCATGAAGTCTATGTAGATTGCGTCTATTGCTTTGCCCTGATTGAGTTGTGTAGTCCATATGTTTTTGCAGTGTAAGAGTTGCAGATTACAGGATAGTTTTTTTCTGAAACCAAATTGTTTATTAGAACCTAGCATCGCTAATAGCCACAAATGATCTAAGTCCAATGCCCCTTGGATTCAGTTAATTCTTAACTAATGCCAAAATAGTGCTATTAGTTGACTAGATTCCTGTTGCACAGGCATGAGCAATAAATCATTTTGGAACTTAACGTGGGGCCTTGGTCTATTGCACTTGACAACTAGGCTTTAAAGAAAGATACCATTAGGAAAAGTTGGAGGCACCCAACATGATGCCTGTTAGGTTCAATCTTCCACTCTGATTTATGTATTTCTCCCTTTTAGTCCCTGAACATCTATCAGAATCTCAACAGGAGGCAGTATGAACATGTAAATCACTTAATGGATATTGCCATTATAGCCACCGATTTAGCACTGTATTTCAAGTAAGTGAATCATGTATTAATTACTACAGCAAACCCACCTGTTTGACACAGTTCTTCAGAATATTGCTACATTTTGAGTGAAACATCACAAATAAGAAAGAAATAGCAAAGTAGTTTCAGTACAGGTAGTCCTCGACTTACGGCCACAACTGAGCCCAACATTTCTGTTGTTAAGGGGGACAGCTGTGAAGTGAGTTTTGCCCCATTTTATGACTTTTCTTGCCACAGTTCTTAAATGAATCACTGCAGTTGTTAAGTTAGTCCCATGGCTGTTAAGTGAATCTGGCATCCCAACTGACTTTGCTTGTCAGAAGGTCATAAAAGGAGATCACATCACCCTGGGATACAACAAAGGTCATAAATATCAGCCAGTTGCCAAACATCTGAATTTTGATCTCCTGACTGCTGGGATGTTACAATGATTGTAAGTGTGAAGCATGGTCATAACTCCCTTTTTTTCAGTGCTGTTGTAACTGTGAGCGTTTGCTAAATGAATTGTTGTAAGTCAAGGACTGCCTGTATAATGTAAAAAATTGGTCTGCTCTAATTAGGTTCTGCTCAATAAGGAGGATCTGAAGTATAATTTGGAGAAGAATATAAGCCCTAAAGTGTCAGATAGTGTTGAATTTACCCATTGCTATCTTTCTTTCCACCAGACCAAGAGTGTCAAACTCAAGACCTGTGGGCCAGATCCTGTCCACGGGGTTCTTAAATCTGGCCTATGGGGTCAGCCTGGAAATAGCAAAGAACTGGCCCGCCTTGCCTCTGGTAGCCAAAATCAGGTGCGGGGGGGGGGGAGCACAGACAGTCCCCCGCGCCCTGTTTTGGTGGCAAGGTCCTTCAAGAGGTGTCCATCAGAGGTGGTATTCAGCAGGTTCTGACCAGTTCTGAAGAACCGGTAGCGGAAATTTTGAGTAGTTTGGAGAACCAGCAAATACCACACCTGACTGGAGATTTTACAGTATCCTTCCCCTGCCATGCCCACCAAGCTACGCTCACAGAACCAGTAGTAAAAAAAAATGAATCCCACCACTGGTGTCCATCCCAACTCCCCGCCTCCCAGCCAGCCCCTGGAGGAGAACTACAATGCTGATCCGGCATTCAAAGAAATCCAGTTTGACACCCCTGCACTAGACACTCAAATATGCAAGTTTCATGCCAGTTTCCTTTATTTTATCCCCTCAGTATCCTGTGCTTTGGGTAAGACTGAGAAAATCACTGGCTAAAAGTTAGCTTTCATGGCCAAGGATGCTTCCCGGAACTCAATCCAACACCTTAATCACTACATCACATTGTGGTGTTTTCTACATACAGTACAGTCTATATAGCTTCAATGTGCTGGGGAAAGTCAAGCTACAGATTGAATTGGTTTATTCTCCCAGAATAGCATTAACGTGTAAATATTAAGGAAGACCCTGATTTCTTGACATGAAGGCAATATTTTGTTTTGTCTTTGGGTCTGTAAAATATTCAAGGGTGTATCAAGACATGTATGCAGCTTAAGCATTGAAGAACAGGAAGTTGCTTATATTTCATCGATAGCAAATTCTGCTCCACACTTTCAATATTAGGGCTAATCCAATGGACAATCTATCTATTAAAGAGAGTTTTTGTTTGATTTTTAATAGGTAAGGTGATGGTGTGGAATCTATATCAGAATGAAATGAGCCCAAGAGGCCCCTGTGAATTCCTTTTCTTTCTAGGACTTTTATACTTTTATACTTTGATACTGTTGAGTTACTAAAAAATTACTGTGAATTTTGATGGTGCTCAAGCTACAAAAAAAGACATTGATTTTTCTTATTCGTTTGCCATTTGCAATCTTTTTTTAAAGAAAGAGAACAATGTTTCAGAAAATAGTTGAACAGTCGAAGACCTACAATGATCAGAAAAAGTGGGTTGAATATTTGTCTCTGGAAACCACAAAGAAAGAGATTATTATGTAAGTAATCTCTTTTTAAAAGCCTAAACATATAAATGGCAACAATGAAAAACACAAAATGGCACATTATATCAGGTTAAATATTAGTACTAAACTTGGTCTACCTGTATGTGGGGTATGTATATATAGGCATAAATACATATAGATATGTGTGTCAACTAAAAAGATACTCCTTTGGTCTTTTTAGCTGCCAGAAAAAGGGAGTGGGGGAAAACAAGGCATTCCTTAAATGCCTAGATAATCACCCCGGTAACCCAAAGTTGTCGGAGCATAAGAAGGGTATTGGAGAGCATGATGGATGACTCTTGGAGATGGATGTGTCCCATTGGAGAAGTCACATCCAGGGGGTGGGGGGTGGGGGAAGACCAGGGTCAAGGGGAAATGTATGATGTAATTTAGTATTGACTGCATCCAGCTTACGCCAACATGGCCACTCCTAATAAATCAAGTTACTTTTCTCTGAGATGCGGCTAGAGACTTTTGATTTGAATGAGGATGGATTTGTTGGAGCCCTGACAATGTGTTTGTGTGTGTGTATGTGTGTGTGTGTGTACATATTGGGTCTTTTTGTAAAAATTGGCTATCTGATGAGAATGTAGGTTCTTTCAGAGAGTTGTGGGTATGGCCTAGGATATAGAAAGTTGAGAATTAGTGATGTTAAATCTCCCTAGGAGGGATTACATTATAGTCATTTAAGTCACTTGGGTTGAATGAGAAAATTCTAAAAGCTGCCTTTTGGAACTAACACTCCTAGTACTGCTGTAAATTAAAATATAATAGTCATAAAACCTTAAAGAACTTGGACAATCTGGCCAGAGGCTACCTGGAGGCTACATATACGCATGCATACTGACCATCAGCATATACTTGGGAAGATGAGGTTTTGCCCAGTCCTTTCTAAAACTTATACATGTGTAGGACTATGATATGAACTCTGAGTCATGGAAGGAAAATACGTTTTCTTAACATACCAAGGTGCCATTTCTAATTCCAACTCATTTTAAAAATAATAATTTAATTCCAATAAAACAATGTGAGCACTTTGATACAGAACCCTAAGACTCACCTGATGGAGGTATCTAAGCCTTCTAGAGCCATCTTTCTTTCCTCTCTACTAGATAGCTTCCTCCCAAGGTACAATTCCCTGTTTTTCAATGGCTTCCTTTTGGCTCAGTTCTTCTGGGTACCCTCGTAAGGATCTGAGTGTATCTGCCTTGGAGAGCTGATTGGAAATTTGTTTTGTTGCAATGGTTTTGCTGCTTGGGTGAATGTGAATGGACAGAGAAGCACAGATTTCCTCACTGTACCCTTCTGGCTTCTTCTCTACAGGGCTATGATGATGACCGCCTGTGACTTATCCGCTATTGCAAAACCCTGGGAAATCCAGAGTAAGGTCAGGTGCCTTTCACACACAGCGTCTTTTCTTCAAATGTTAAGAGCAATCTGCGGAATTGTGCATTTTCCTTATTTTATTTATTTATTTATTTATTTATTTGATTTGCCAATTGTTTACAAGATAATAAGTATAAGTGTATACATGGTTTTGAATACATGAAATGGGTACATATAAGAAAAATAAAAGAAGAATAAGAGAAACAATAGGACAGGGACGGTAGGCACGTTGGTGCGCTTATGCACGCCCCCTACAGACCTCTTAGGAAAGGGGTGAGGTCAATAGTAGACAGTCTAAGGTTAAAGTTTTTGGGGTTTGGGGAAGAAACTACAGAGTCGGGTAGAGTATTCCAGACATTGACCACTCTGTTGCTGAAGTCGTATTTCCTGCAATCAAGTTTGGTGCGGTTTACTTTGAGTTTGTATCTATTGTGTGCTCTTGTGTTGTTATGGTTGAAGCTGAAGTATTCACTGACAGGTAGTACATTGCAATGTATGATTTTATATACCATGCTTAAGTCAGACCGAAGACGGCGTAATTCAAGATTTTCTAGTTCTAGAATTTCAAGTCTGGTGGCATAAGGTATTCTACATAAGGTATTCTTATCCTAGAGTTGAATCATTTCATCTTTGTAGTGTTCAACAAAACATTAAGGGTTGACCCTACAGCATAAAGAAAAGACTGGATCCTGCCCCAATAAGATAATATAAGCTTTATATTGTGGGTTTTTTTTTCTTAATCGCTTTGGTCTTTCCAACATCCACTTGTAGTCTTCTAGATGATGGAGCTCAGGTAGAAATTCCACCCAAACATTTTACAGCTGGTGTAACACGTCTATTTAACAAGTCAGATGTGAAAAAGTATTATATTCCAGACGTCTGGGGTTTGTTTTTTACAAGTAATAATCTCAGGTTGTTTAAGATGATTAAGTGATGCAGTACGAATTTTAAAGGTTTAAAATCTCATTGACAACAATGGTCTTACATACGCATAAATCTCGGAAAGAAAAAAGGGAAGAGAAGCAAACACATAGAATGCTTCCAAGTGTTAGAATTAATAGTGATGATTTTATAGGACAAAACAACAAGAGTTGTGAAATGTGAATGCCAACATCATAAAAGTTTTTTCCCCCATATGCAGGTGGCATTACTTGTAGCAGCTGAATTCTGGGAACAGGGAGATCTGGAAATGTCTGTACTTCAACAACAGCCTATTGTAAGTTCATTTTAAAAAATAGTCATTGATTTGCTTCCTGCCTTCTTCTGTTTTTCCCCCCCTGCTAACCTTTCTAGTCCTAGAAGGTGAAATCCTATGCTGTGGGCAGCCCTCCTTTCCAAATGTCCTCCCAGCAGGAGGAAAAGCCAGAGTTAGCTCAATTCTGATTCAGTGGGCATCAGCCCTGCAGGACATTTGAAATAAAAGCCTTGCTAGAATATATAGCAGAAGCTATTTGGGGACCTTTCCAAGTGAAACAATAGTTTCACCCCATTTCATGGTCAAAGAGAGATGTAGATGAAAAAAGACTTATCTTTCTCACTCTAATATTTCCTCATTAAAATGGGCAAAGGGTTAGGGTTAGGGTTAAGATTATTATGTATGAACTAAACATAAAGATGGTTTATAACTATAAGCATGCCAATATAACCAACAGCATTACAAATAAGCTAACATAAAGATAAACTTAGTTAAACTTATTCTGTTGCACTATTGCTATTGTTATTAGTATATATGTTACTACTACTCCCCCCCCCTTGTTTTTCCTGATATGCCCCGAGAAGAAATGGTTCAAGGACAGATGGTCTCTCTCCTCTGTAGATCATTTGATCCTGAAATTCACCCAATTTCAAAACCAAATGTGGTCACTGAATGGAAATCACCCAAATTTATTTACACAGAGAAATGTTTTTCTTCCTTTGCTATGATGGGAGTAAATAACAGCCATTCATGTGAGAAGAAAGTAAACTTGATTGAGATGAGCTCTTTTTCCCCCCCCCAAGACTGATTATTTTCCTTTTTCCATTTAATTGATTCAGGATCGTTCTCTTTATCCCACAGAAGTTACGAGGCTCATTACAGGTAGTTCTTGACTTACAACAGTTTGTTTAGTGACCTGTTCAAAGTTACAATGGCACTAATAGAAAAGTGATTTATGATCATTTTTCACACTTACGACTGAAGCAGCATCCCCATGGTCATGTGATCAAAATGCAGATGCTTGGAAAATGATTCATAGTTATGATGGTTGAGATGCCTCCAGATCATGCGGTCAACTTTTGAAAGCTTTGGACAAGCAAAGTCAACGGGGACGCCAGATTCTTTAACAATCATGTTACTAACTTAACGGCTTGCAATGATTCTCTTAACAATTGTGGCAAGAAAGGTCGTAAAATGGGGCAAATGTCTCACATATCAACATAAATTTTGGGCTGGTTGTAAGTTAAGCACTACCTGTATTGAGTGTGTTTTAAACCCTAAGGTTTCATGACAACACTAGAGTTCAGACTTCAAAACTCTGTTCCTTAAGAGGATTTAATAAATGTGTGTATTCAAAAACAACCATTGCTATTTTGTCCTAGCCTATGATGGACAGAAGAAAAGCTGCTGAACTCCCAAAACTTCAAGTTGGTTTCATTGACTTTGTGTGCACCTTTGTATACCAGGTAAGTGGATTGATGATCTGATTTATTAGGTCCAGGAACCTTTACTAAGTTTAAGTCACTGTACAAAACCTCATGCCCTCTAGGTCAGGGGTCTCCAACCTTGGCAACTTTAAGACTTGTGGACTCCAACTCCCAGAATTCCTCAGCCAGAAAAGCTGGCTGGGGAATTCTGGGAGTTGAAGTCCACAAGTCTTAAAGTTGCCAAG